AAGCACGTCGAGGTTTTGAACAATTGAACCATTCATTTATTCTGGAAACGGAGCTACGTCACAATCCCCTAGCATTGCCAGGACCAATCACAAACAAGAATAGACAATGTTTTTTTTTTTGATAAACGCCTCTGCTAACGAAAACAAAATCTTTTGTCTTCTAGTGAATTCTTTTTTTATCTGTCTTCGAGAATTCCAAGCTGGTCAGGTTAGAAACACTAAATCAATTATAACACTATAGTGGGATTAACATCAGAAAATAAAGCCGGCCTTAGGCATACCTACATTTTTGACTTGCTTAAATTGTCTAAACAACCTAAATAAGGCACGCCCTAATTTCATTTCTAATGTTAGACCGGCCACAGTCCCTCTGTCTATAGGGGGACTATGAACCGGCCTAACTATAGTATGGACATGGAAGGTATAGTACGTACCAAGCGCCAGATTACGTAATCGTTAATTAAATATGCAAATCAGGTTCGTGAACTTTGTTGCCCAGTTTCAAAACCTTTTCAAGATCGTAACAAGAATGGATATGAATGTGGAAAGAGTCAACTTCACTGATGAGAAAAATAAAACCATTGATCGTTATATGGATGAAGACCAACTGAAATTCAACATGAAAAGATCACTGCCCGGTTAGGAAATACTGAAACAGAGAGAATGGCAGCACAAGTAAAAAAAAGTTGAGACTTATGTGGGCTGATTCACATTTTAAAGCGATAGTTAACGATGTCCTCGCCGAGTTTTCCTACGCAGCTATGGAAAAAAAAACTCAGAGAAGAAAGAACATGTCCGCCATGTTGAACACTTCTGACTTAACAAATTTGCATTCAAAAGAAAAGAGGGCGCTCTAGGCCGTCCTAAATAATGATCTGTGTGAAATCAAACCAAATTTTAACCTTTTCTATTCAACAAACAAAATGTTTCTGCCGCACCGGACCTTAGACAAGCTAAATATGAAACAGGCTTATGGCTTGAATTAGTTGGTAAATCCCTGATCCTAAACTTCGTCTGTGTCGAGATTGAATGAACTGTCGGATTCATGTAAAGTCGACACTGATGTATCAAGCATTGCGTCCACGTCATCGTCCAGTTCGGAAACGGTAGATTGAATGATGCATTCGTCATCTGTGTCCTCTAGATTGAAGCGGGAGGGTCGTCACCTGCGCATGCGTCAGATGGCCATAGCGTGTCATTGTTTACAAACAAGTGTCTACTCATGAGCCTTTGCGTTTTTACCGTGTGTTGTTATCGTCGCTTGGGACTCAATTCCCGCGCGTGCGCAGGTGGCGACCCTCCTGCTTTAAGATTTTCAGGACTTCTAGTATCTTCTAGGAACGCGAAGTCATAAATTGTTACATCAACCTTGATCTCATTTTCTCGGAAATCTCATTATTTATAGATGGCATTGAGTAGTGGGAAAATCGTTTTGTCTTGTCATCCATGTTGGCATATATGCGGTCATGCCCAACGGAGATGTTTTCTGGGAATCGCGTTTCAACATTTTACTTTTGTTTTGTGACAGCAGCAAGGGAAAACTGTCTGCACACCTACATCATTTCTGGTCTGCAAATAAGAACATATGACGTTACTGTACCGCTAGCTTATAGCAACTTTTGTAAAACGCATTTATGAACCGAGTAAAGCGACTGTTTACATTTTTCAATAAATTAGT